CGCGCATGATCAGAGGTCAGGGCAGCAGACCCTACGATGACAGGCTGAGAGCCATGGGGCTCTTTAGCCTGGAAAAGCGCAGGCTCAGGGGTGATCTGATGGCCACCTAGAGTTTATCGGGGGTGACCACCAGTATCTGGGGGAACGTTTGTTCACCAGAGCGTCCCAAGGGATGACGACTAGGTCGAATGGTCATAAACTACTACAAGACCGTTTCAGGCTAGACATAAGGAAGAATTTCTTTACTGTCCGAGCCCCCAAGGTCTGGAACAGCCTGCCACCGGAGGTGGTTCAAACGCCTACATTGAACACCTTCAAGAGCAAACTGGTTACTTATCTTGCTGGGATCCTATGACCTCAGCTGACTTCCTGCCCTTTGGGCAGGGGGCTGGACTCAATGATCTTCCGAGGTCCCTTCCAGCCCTAGTGTCTATGAAATCTATGAATCTATGAAACAGCTTTTCAAGATTTCACTCCCATCCTTGTCTCTGTCTCCGCTCCTACTGTTGCATAGGGAAGGAAAGCACAGACTCCGTGCTCGTTTCTCCACCTCTGCCACCCTCCCCTCCCCTCTTCCACCACTGAGGAGGAGTAGAGTCCTGGCTCCTGTCCACATTGCCAGGCCCTCTAGTGGCAAGTCACAGTTGTGCAGGTGATAAGCACCCCTTGTTTCAGGGGCACCTGGCTAAACCCCTAGGGACAGAGGTAGGGCTGGAAGCCATGTCCAGCAGAGATCCCCTGAACTTTTACTATGCATTTTCTACTTCAGGAACAGCTTTGTATGTTTTGAAAAAGTATTTTATCTAACCAAGGGCATAGAGTAGGTTGTTTAGGCTGGGGGAGATCGCTTGTTGCTTAGTTGTTTAATTGCTGGCCTTGCTAAAGGAAAAGCTGTATCAACAAAGTTCTGGAGCTGGAAGGGGGATGCTGGGGGGGAGCTGGAAGGGGGGTTACTTGCTGGGCTTGCTACACATTTCATCACATCAGCAAGTTTAACCTGTTACGTAGCTATATAAGGCAGACGCCCACTGGGGTGGGTGTGCTTGCTTTGCGAACGATTGCCAAGCACCACTTTCTGCGCAGAAATAAAGTTTAAGTTGGATCCTTCACCCCTGTGTGTTTATTGGCACAAGCGCACCGGGCACGAACTCACTGTCCTTTGGGGACAACACAGGTCTGAGACAGCATTAAACCATAACCTGTGACTACTATGAAACTGTTCTAACTTTATGAGGACATAACATTCCAGATTTTAAATGTTTTAAAGGTAGCCTGTAACAGCACCATTACAAGCCCATTGTCCCATTTTAAGTACTTGAAGTATGTGAGATAACACCTTTCCCTGGGACAATTGCTGATGATTCAAGTTAACTGCCATTCATTCCAGGGACAAAGTATGTGTGAAGAGGCCTATACTGCTCCCAGGTTTTGACTTGGATCAATTAGAACCACTTCAAATGCAATGTTAGTTTTTATCCTTACTGTGGAAAGTTGAACTTTGGAGCTTGGTTAATGTTCTACAATTTAAACATAAGGAACTCCAGATTCAATACATATGCATCACTAAAATGCAGTTTTCCTTGCCAGTCCATTGATTTTAATGGTGGGACCAATAACAATCAAGTCTCTAGGGCAAGGGTTGGCAACCTTTCAACAACAGTAGGTCAAGTTAACACCGCTCTGTTTTCCACAGGCAAAAACAGCAGTTGATAGAGATGGCAGGCAGGAGGTAGCAGTTGATGGAGGCAGCTGCTAGATAGTGCATTCTTGGGCAAACAAGCTTAGTGGGATAAATAAAATCTCCCCACAAGCCAGATTCAGCCTGTGGGTCGTGGGTTGCTGACCACTGCTTCAGGGTATCCTTCCATTTGGCTATCAAGCAGAAAGGTGAAAACAATTACACCTAAAAGCTTGTCTACATTATAAGAATCTCTGCCACTACTTCTGTGTAACATATCGCTGTCAGCAACATCTCCTAGTGGAGATACATCTTAAATCAAGGGGAGTCTTTCTGCCAATGCAGCTAAATCACCTTTCCAAATGACATAAACTAAGCCAATATGAAGGCCATGTGGTAAGCATCAGAATTAATTCTCCTACCCATGGCCTCCTATTCAGGCTCTTTCTTTACAAACATGAGGTTAATTAAAGAAGTATTTGTTTTCTATTCTGTACATATTAGTGCATATTATTGCTTGCCTGTTTCGAGGTGGAATCTTTTTCAGACCATTCTGAAGTATGCCTAAGCCCTTTGAGGATACACCAGGTGAAGAAATTTCTCTCTCAACAGTTCCGTCTGCCACACACTGATCTGGAGATGAGAATGCTGGATATCCCAGGAACTGTGCTGCGATGACACTACCACCAAAAAGGACAAAAGAAACACAAGAATCAAAATCCTCAGTGAAAGAAAATTAGTTAGATGAAGAAAGAGAATGCGTGAATAATCTTTCACAGAAAAATAAATGGTTTCTATGCTTATTATTTCCACAGACCTTACATATTAAGAATTTTTGGATAAAGGGGAAAAGCCTCTCCTCTCACAATGACAAAAGACTATTCCAAAGTGAATGCTCTTGAGTTCTAAACCAAAGTTACATGTACAGTTAAGAACATTCTGGGAAGGCTATGCACCTACCACTTTCTGAAAAAAAAAACTTGAGGCTGAAATTTCTCAAGTTCTCTCTTGGCTAACACAGAAATTATTTTACAAATTAATATAACATTCCATTTGTCAGAGTTCCATTTTGGACTAAAAAGACTAGTCCAGTGGTTCTCAACCAGGGTGCCAGGGAACCCTTGGGTGCAGCCAGGTCTTTTGATAGGTGCCACAAGGTTGTGAAGATTTAAGTGAGGTGTGAGGAGGTAAGCAGATAAGCTAGGCTTAGGCGGGTCTCAGGTTTCAGGTGATAAAACTTGCTTCTTCCTTGTAAAATTATGAAGATTTCATTAAAAAAAAAAATTGGCTAAAATATTGATAAAAAATTTGATATTTGTTTACCTCAATGTTGTTGAACTGTCATTTCTACCTGGAAGAACTTTTACAGTCTCTTCTCCTATGCCTGAAAAAGGGGAGTTGTGCCCAAAAGCTTGTAATTAAAGATTTTTTTTGGCAAAAATCTAGTTAGTCTAATAAAAGAGATCACCTCTACCATGAGTTCCGATTCCTTTAGAGCTATGAAGGATTTAAGATTTTTTGTGGGGTCTGCCCTGGAGGTTTCTCTCACCGCCTTTCTGGAACCAAAGATGGGCACCTAGGGTCCTGAAAAATGTGTCCCTGAAAATCTCCGCAGACGTTTCCTCAAAATTTTGTAGATGTGGCACCCGGCCCAGCCGCCCGGGGCAACCACCAAAAGTGTCCACCTTCCTGGATCGAACGGTCGGGCAACACCCGTTTGAACAACCCCAAACGGACTTCCGGGCCGCGCTGGCGGGCCCACATCAACTGCTCGCAACACAGCAGAGCAAAATTTTTCTAAGTTCCACATCGGACACCAGGTCAACCCGATCCCCCGGCAGGAGAACCACGCCACTCCCGAGGAAGCACCGATTAAAAGTAGGAGCCACATTGCGGATTTATGTAACAATTTGTATTCTTTGCCCCCTTTTCCACTCTCACATGTGTCAAAGGGTGGCTACCAAGAGAGGGAAAAGGCAAAAAACAATACTAGATGTTTCACATTTTTTGGTACTGACTATGATTACATGATTATGTGTCTCTTGGAACTTGTTACATGGTATCAGAAATCATAAAATCATAGAAATTAGGACTGGAAGTGACTTCAAGAAGTTATCTATTTTCATTCCCTAAACCCAAAGTAAGATCAGCTATACCTAAACCATTCCCAAGGTCTGTTTTCTAACCTGTTCTTAAAAACTTCCAATGATAAATATTCTACCATCCTTCTCATTTAATCTATTTCAATTATGATAACCAGTTCTATTTCTGCCACCTTGCTTACCTAATAATTCAGAAGGCCATGAAGATCACTGCTGAATACTATGGCCTGAGTACCACATCTTCTTGCTTATGATTTTGGTACTCAGGCCACATCTTCTTTCTTCCCTTTCTTAAAAATGGGCACTATATTTGCCCTCTTCCTGTCATCCAAAACCCCTTCTGTCCTCCACAGGTTTTCAAATAAGATAGGCAGTCATTCTGGACTTACCTCAGCCAATTCCTTTAGTACTCTAAGGTGCACCTTGTATGGCTCTACTGACATGAAAACATCCAACTTCTCTAAGTAATCCCTAACCTATTCTTCCACTACAGTAGCCTGCACATCTCCTCCCCTATCCTTGCTGCCACCTGCACTTATCATCTTGTATCTGGACCTTATTTATGAATAGTGAAATAAAAAAAGGTAATTAATACTTCAGTGTTCACTGCCTCATTTGTTGCTAAATTGTCTTCTGCAATCAGTAAGGGACCTACACTTTTCTTAGTCTTTCTCTTGTTTTTGTTTTTTCGAAATAACAGAATTGCATCAAAGAAACATGACTCCATCACCAATTTCTTTTCATTGGAATAACTTGGAAGGTTCTGAATTTTAGCTAGCAACTCATGTCAAGAGCTAAAAGAATTTTGAGAAGATCCTTAACATATAATTCCCAAGAACCTTTGACGATCCCTTCTGTCTTTCAGTGGTGGAATCCGGAGAAACATGGAACGTTTAATAGTCTTCTGAAGTTCTGGTTCAGGCTGTTTCAACTACAAAAGAAAAACATTGATATTAAAATAGATAATTAGAACTGTAAAAGAATGACTAGATGAATTTAGAAGATACTCAAATCTTCCAGTAAAATGAGTGGGATAACACAAAAGAAAGCAGCACAATGAGCAAATCAGTGAAGATAATGGACAACAGCAGGCTATTCTATTACTAATTTATCAAAATCAATCATTGAAACAAATTAGCAGACTACAAAGTATTGTAATTAGAATACTTTATGAAATCCACTTGCACAGTTCTTATAGCAGAAGGATGCTAGTTCCTCCATAATAAGTGTCAAAGCCAGTTTTTCACTAGAAGACCTATTTCCAAAACAAATCAAACCAAAATATCTAAAATTCATGTGTCACTTTTCATTCCAAGGTAGACGTATAAAATAGTCTTGGATGTTCAAGCTATCTAATATATTATCAATCTCTTTACAAAACATACAAATTTAAGTAGTATATTTCTTTTGTTGTATTCTTGTATGTGTCACGTACTGCTTTACATTTAAATTTTTAAGTGTCTGATTACTTTTGTGGAATTTTGAGGCAAATCAAACATAAGGGGCACGTCTAGATATGCGTTTTAATGCACAATAGCCTATTTTACTGCACATTACAACAGTGTACACTTTCGCTACTGAGCCGTGGGGCAGCTTAATGTGCATGTATTTAGTACATCACATTAGAGCTACTAAATCTAAGGCGCATTAAGAAAAGTGCATTCATGCACATGCAGACACCCAGGGAGTATCAGAGATAGGGCAGGTGGCATAACAACCGTCTAGGACGCTCACTTTTCCCAAACCCTTTTTTGGCATGTTGCGGCCTACCACAGTCCTAAATCAAATTCCTTAAAAAAAATAATCAAGTTTCATTTTCTTAAAGATTATGAGTACAACTGAGAGACATATATAGGAAGTGACAAGATAGTTAGAATATACAAATCCAAGTTATCATTTACCTGCTTTGTAACATTATATAATTTTAAACATAATCTTGTTTTACTATTTTCATTTAATCCAAATACTAATCTTGGTTAACTCTTTCCAAAAGGATTCCAATCTGGAATGTTGCCAAGTATGGGAAATATCATCCCACAAAATAATGTTTAATGGAATTTATGAATGTCTGTGGTTTTGAACTGAATACAATGGAGAACAAATGCTACTAAAATAGAAGGTTCAGATATTTCTGGATAGGATAGCCAACTAATTTCTTCACCAAACAACCCCCAAGCAAACAATAGGTGATGCTACTTTAAACTATATTTTGATAAATTATTAGTGGAGTTCCTCAAGGATTAGTCTTGGGAACAATCTTATTTAATATTTTCTTTAATAGTTATGGCACAAAAAGTAAGTGTACGCCGATGAAATTTGTTTCTCAGTTACGGAGTTGTATCAGGACGTGCAGGAAGAACTGGATCCCCATGAGAATTGCTGTCATAGAGATTTTATGAGACATAATAATAGCCATGAATATGTAGGTGTCACAGCGGGGTCCCTTAGGAGGGCCATGATCTCGAGGTCCCTCGCTCCGTGTCAAGGCCGGCCCAAGACACCCTCTTATTCTCGCCCGCCACGTCTTGCTGGTAAATATAAGGTTGGGAGGCTGCCTATGACTCCCTGGGCAAGGCTACTCGGGACCTCTGTCCCCACAGTTCTCCCAGACTCATGTGGTCTCCCGGTATGATGGGTGCTTCCCAGGCACCCTAGCCTTATGGGCTGCGCGTGGCTCCTACCAGCCCCTAATACCACGCCCCAAGC